AAAAACATATATATTACATAGTATATAACTTAATGTTTTTGAATTTCTAGACCGGCCATGTCAAGCCTAGCCAGGTAGGTTTCGGATCCGGGTCGGGGTCCAATTGACATGAACCCTACCCCACCCATTGCCACCCATAATATTCATATCCTATAAATTATAAATATAAGTCATATTCTTTCCCACCCAAACAGGTTGTTTTTGATGTTTGAAGTTTTTCCAAGTGATCATCTCGACCTCAATATATAGAACTATGAATAAAAGATTTTAAGTCATAAAATAATGTATTCTATAACAAATTATCTGGACCTTTCTATTTCCAAAATGGTTAGTCTGCTCAATTCTTGTTCCAGGTTGAAACAAGTTTTTCGTGCTATTGCAGGGGTATCTTTCAGCAGGGTCTGGAGGTTCACATTGCTTTGATTGTTTAAGGTTGAAGCCTTATATATACGGCACCCATCCTTAAGACATAGGAGGTATGGGAGTAAATTTCTATTACGCAATATTTAGAATCCTCATACCATGCTCCTGTTGGAGAATGAAAAATTCATTTACTCCCTAGGACAAATGATCCACTTGGAGAATTTGTTTATATAAAGTTTTGGGATCCGATTTTTTGTATGTGAAGTTTTGGGATTCTATTAAGGATTATGAGAAGAATTTTTTTTTTCTTCCCTTTAAAAAAGTATTTTCGAATACATAAACACCTAAAGAAATGGGTTTTAAATACATAATTACCTATAAATTTCTGAGGTGCGTCTTATTTCAATAGTATATGGTTGGACTCTATATAGATTTTTTTTCTTGTACCATATGTGTGTGTGGCGAGAGATCACCATATTTCAATAGCATATGGTTGACACTATATAAATTTTTTCTTTTAGCATATGTGTGTGTGGCGTGAGATTGTGTGTACATAGATATTGGAAGGTATTGTCACATGACCACATACCTATGGATCATACAAAGCTTTTGTGAAATATAGGAGAAGAAAATCAAATGGGGGCATTTGGCAATTGGAACCTGGAACTACAACTAGAGTTTTCCCATTTTGAAATAGGGGGCAAATGGAGGGTAGAAAAATGAGTATATGGTAATGGAAAATATTGTCTGGTTTATCAGACTAGAATTATGGCAATTCTAGAAAACTATGTTTGGTTTAAGCTAAAATTTTATACATATGAGATATGAAAATTAGCCAATTTCAACAAATTTTTTTAAAGTTTTCACTAATGAGATGGTAATACTTGTTATATGAATGAGATTTTGAATCCATAGGTCATCCATCGTAGGTCTAGCGACATGGACACTCTATATGTACCACAAAAAATCATCCATCGTAGGTCTAACGAAATGGACACTATATATACCACAAAAAAGAACAAAACAAATTGGATAAGGTGAAAGCATGTGGAAGTATTTTAATATTATTTTATTTTTTCTATACCTCAAATTGAGCTAAAATCTGATACCCCCAAGAACGTATAAAAAATATATAAATAATTTGGAAAAAACATAATAGTTGAAATACCTTCAGAAACAGTTAGAGAGCTGAGTATTTTAATTTTATTTTATATTTAATGCATTAGATTGAGCTAAAATTTTGGGCATCTATGCCTTTCCTTCATGAGGTGTAATTTGGTCATTCATTTTATAATTATTTTTTGATATGTTTTTTTATAAAAAATACCCAATTGAGCGCACAAACCCTCCAAAATTTTATCGTAATCCAATTTCATAATAAATAAATAAATGTATTTGAAATTTTATGCACATTATCGAATTAACAAAAGGATCCAAAAAGGGAAAATCTTCATTTCCCATTTTTGGGTTGTTTAGTCTGCCATGGGGGTGCTAAAAGTCCACATTTTTAATTTTTGAGAAATGTAAACTTCTTTTCACTATGCCATTTCTAGTTGTCAAACTGGAAATGCTGCAGTTTTTCAAAAAATTTCAATCTTAGGCAACCAAATTCCTTGTTGCGAAACAACACCTTAATTCTTAGCAATAATGAAATATGAACGACTCCAGCTTTCTCCCTCACAAGAGTCTTTAGGGATTCCAGCCCATGAGTAGTTAAATAGTTTGTTTTATCACATTACATACACACCATTGGTTGTTTGGAATTAAAGCTCTCAGCAAACAGTAACATGATAGAAATAACAAAGGAACTTTATTGCTCAACATTCAAAAAGAGAGAAGGAACCTTATTGCTAATTGCACAAGAAAGTCAAGAAACCATTGGCACAATAGCATCAAAGTTTCTCATCCACAAAACTATTTACAAACAAAAGTATCCTTCAAATACTTCTTAACTAAAAAACTCACCAAACAATGAGTAAATAAAACATATATGGGAAATAAAAACTTAAATGACTTTACATTTGTTTACTTAAATTTATGATATATTACATATGAAAAATGCTTCTAAAACCATTTCTAGTTCAGTATCAGTAACAAATTTGGCCATGATCCATGGAATGAGATCTTGTCTTGTATGGATTCATATCACCAGCTAATGACCAATTTGTGTGAAGGAGGTTTGGATTCTCCCTCACAGAAGCAAACTTACCAACTGATGCAAACTGAAAGAAGGAAATGCCAACAAGCAGAAATACTCTCAACGCCCGCAATCCAATGTCGTGATGTCATTAAATGACAGCGGTGGCACAGACAAGGCCGAATTACTCCCCGAGCCATTTGATAATTTTGAAGTCGACTGGCGCACAGGGATATAGATAGCTGCAGGTCGGCTTGTCGGTAGCTCCATGAGTGGTTCATTAGAGTTCATGAACACTTGCACCACCCCACGCATTCGAGGCCTCTGTGCAGGATCAGGGTGAGCACATGCTAACCCTACCACTAGTGCCCTCATCACCTGTTGCTGATCAAATTCATCTCTTGGCTCCACATCTGCAGCCTCCAAGAGTTGACCCTGACCATAATAACCCCAAATATAATCCACAAGATTAAGCTCTGATAATCTCCTCCCGCACACGACTTCAAGGACCACTATCCCAAACCCAAACACATCCGACTCAGTTGTGGCCCTGCCAGTGTAGCTACATTCTGGTGCCAGGTACCCTGGGGTCCCCGCCACCATAGTTGTTATTGAGCCCTCTTGAACCAGCCTAGCCAGCCCAAAGTCCCCTAAATGTGCATTGAAATCCTCATCTAGCATCACATTGTTTGGCTTCAAATCTCGATGAACCACAACTGTCCCACACTCCTCATGAAGATACAGCAATGCTGAAGCAAGTCCAGACAGGATCCTGTGGCGCACATCCCATGGCAACAGCCCTTTGGAAATGAACTTGTCAAGGCTCCCATTTGGCATGAATTCATAAACAAGGAGGAGCTGACCCTTCTCATGGCACCATCCATTCAACTGTACTACGTTCTTGTGGCGCAGGCGTCCAATGGTGCATATCTCTGCTAAGAACTCACGCTCCCCCTGCTTTGATCCAGCTGAAATTTTCTTCACAGCAATTGGACCTGGGGCGTGGCCCTTGTACACACTTCCGAACCCACCCACCCCCAACAAGTTCTTGTGATTAAAGTTGTCTGTGGCAACTACGAGCTGTTTGTATGTGAACATTCGAGGGGCATTAATGGCACTACGAGAGCGAGTCTCCATGTCATCCCGTCGCACAGAGTCAGAGCCACGAGCCATCTTAGCCACTACCAGCGCAACAATACCTACTACCAAAGTGCCGACTGAAGCTGCAATAGAAGCTAACCACACAATTCTTCTGATAGACTTCGAATGTAAAGAAGGGGAGCTGGCTTTCACTGGCAGGGGAAAAGAGGTGAAGGTCCAGCTAAGCAGGCGGTGGGATTCAAAGTCGGTCCGGCCCGTTGATGCTGTGAAGCCTATGTACGCTGACTGTGGGAGGATGTCCCGGAGTTGCAGGGTGTGGTTCAAGATACTTGTTAAAGGTTCACCTAAGAGAGCAGCGAAGATTTGGAGGTTACTTTGCCAACCATCGTATTCTAGCTTTATCTGTAGGGATTGGTGTTGGTTAAGGCCGCGTTCGAAGCGACTGATGTCGGCCTTTGCATCAGACATAATGGAATTCGTATCGACTCCTATATGGATGTAATTCGGGTCAAATTCATTTAGAAAAGTATCGATCTCCACGGCTACTTGATCCCAGGTGTTTTCTGTGTTGGATAATAACAAAGAGACCACCATTATAGGAGGGAACCATAAGAACAAAAATATGAGAAATAAAAATTTCCTATAACTAATTTTATTTAGGAAAAATTGACTATGATTGACAGGACCATAGAAAGGCTATGATCATAACCTTCTATGTTTCTTTTTATAAAGTTATGACCAATGTTTGAAAAAATGGGTTGGTGACCCAGATCAGCCATATGGAAAACTGATCCAAATCTTTATAAATAATGTTATTTAGGTTTTCAAGAAAAATGGGGGTAATGGATTATAAATTTTCATTATTTTGTGAAAATAAGTGAATATTGAGATAATGTTTCTGTTTGAATGTTTGTTGATCAACATTCTGGATGTTTGTTCGGCCATTATTTCATGTTTCCGTTTGAATGTTTGTTGATCAACATTACGGCTGTTTGTTCGGCCATTATTTCATGTTTCCGTGTGAATGTTTGTTGATCAACATTCCGGCTGTTTGTCTGGCCATTATTTCATTGGATCTCTCTCTATCTATGTATTATATATTGAAAGAGATGATGAGGGACGAAATGTTAGTTTTGAGGTGGGTTTAATCTCCTTTCTTTTATAATCTCGGTTTTCATGTATTTGATGTTGTTTTGTGATGTAATGAGAGAAAAGTTGATATTTTGATCTGGATATATGCCATTTTGAATTTTGAAATAATGACCTGGTGGTAAAAGACAAATTTTTAGTTTTAAAGAAAAAAAACAAAAAAAAAAATCCTTTACATACTAACAAATACTCTCTCACACAACTATTGGTAGAGGGATATAATTATCCTTTTAATATCACCATCATCAAAATCTTTTATTAACTATTTGGATTCGGCTATATAAATCTTGGTCCACCATTCTGCTTTATCAAAGGTCATATTTCAGTGAGGGTATAAGTATCCATATCTTTTTCATTACCTCTTATTCTTTCTGAGTTTTTTATTTGGACTAACTCGTACCTCTGAACAAGTTTTGTACTGTATTGCTGTTGTACATGCCTAACCATATAAATCCTCATTCTCTCATCTTAACTTCTATTGGAGTAACACTTAAGTTCTTCCAAATGTATTCATTTCATCCATCTCAACATCTTCATTTTAGTTACATTCATCATATAAATATATAATCATCTATAAAGATCAATCATCTATGATGTATTATTTTTAAACCTAGGAAACTAGAAACTAGAAACTAGGAATCTATAAAATCTATAAAATAACACGTTATATGACAATTGTTTGTTGAACAATATATTGATAAGATATTGATATTTGTCCTAAAAAATAGATTTTTAAAAATGACACATCCATCACATGACTAAAAATGGATGGTTTAGATGAAAAAATTGACTTACTATTATTATCACAAGTTCTTGTTATTATCATCTTGGTCAAGTAGTAGCGCTATTCTATTATTTGGTAACTTGATCAATCACTTGCACACACTCTCTCTCTCATCATATAAAGATCACTCTCATCATATAAAGATCAATTGAGTGAGAGAGATAGACAGTAAATCAATGTGATGCCAATAAAAAAAATGATTCTTTAAATGTTTTTTGTTTCACACTTTTTTAAGACTTAAAAAGTATGTTATTTGGATTTTTAATTTTTTTAGGATTATTTTTATCTTTTTCAGCTGTAGAGATCTAAAGGATGGAATTGAAAGTTTTATTTTTTAAAAAAAAAATGGATATGGATAGGGATTATCAAAGATGAATACGAATAGAGATTAGCATGGTTGGATTGGTTAAGATATTTTATACTTGTTTTTAAGAGAGAAGTGAGAGCTAGAGTTTAATTTTGTATTTTTATTTTATTTTTATTTATTGATCCTTTTAATTTGTATTTAAAGGGAAAATGTCTCTTCTTTGTAGTGATGGTGAATGGAATAAAGAAGTCGGTCTTGTTAAGAGATCTTTGGGTGGACTCCTTGCAGACTCTGAAAGATAGTATAATATCTCAACTCTTTAATTTTATTTTATTTTTTTTCTTTTTTTAAAAAAATTCCTGCATCACACAATGTGATTTAATTTTATTTATTTAATTAAAAAAAAAAAAAAAAGGGCTTAGTTCCATGTCTAAGTTAAAAGGGTTAAACGTCCCAAAAGTTTTTAAAGATGTACCCCTCGTTTTAGTCATGGGGACTTGAAGAGGAAGTTGGGGAAGCGGGGCTATAAGAAAGACCCATGCGAGCTCAAGAACGGGTGTCACCCTCATGCTGAGGGGTGGGTCACTACATAGAGGGGTGGGCCACTACATAGAGTGGTGGGCCAGGGAATCAATTTTGATAGAATCGGTCTGTTTTGTCAGAAAATTGACTAATTCTTTCAGAAAATATGTTGCAGTTGAAATACTACTTAAGCACCATGGCGTTCAACTTGAGCACCATGGGGATTTAGACTGGAGAAATTTTGTCTTTTTGATATATTTAGGGAACCAGGATGGTGACTTTGAAATCCAATCTTGATCTAACAGTTTTTAAAACACTTAATTATAACCCTATTGAGATGAATGTTGACGGTGTGGGAGTGAGAGTGGGACCTTCGACTTGGATCATTTTCTCATGGTCCCGCACCATCAATTGATTAGATGGCCTTTCCATGTTCATAGAAGTGTCACAACATACTTAGGCCCACTTGGTAGGGGTGACAGCCTGGTTGCATCAACCAGCCAACCCGACAGGTTAACCAGACACAAGTCCATGTCTAGACCTAGCTATTAGACCAGATGGGT